TAGCTGGTAGAGAAAGAAGAATAAGATAACATCTCTGCTGTGAGGTTATTACCTAGGCAGGCAGCATGGACAAAGCACAGTGTGGGGGGAAAAAAGCCACACCAAAAAAAACCACACATCACTTTGTTGTGATTTTGTGAATATGAAGTTGAGACGCAGGTGGGAGAATGTTATGATCCAGCCCAGTACTTTACAATTCCATTTGGATTTAGAGAGAATATACCCACACTCACAGGGTTGCCCATGTTTCACCAGTTCTGGTGTCACTCATTTCTGGAGTTCACCAAAGAGCCAGGAACAAGATCCTGCTCTCTTGATCCTCCAGTTCTTCACCTGAACTGCTGGGGTACAATATGATATTGATACCTTTATTTTTTTTCTATTGAAAGAAAGAAGGAAAGCTCCTTTCTAATTAAAAATTAGATGTTTAGAACTTTACAGGTTTGCATGTTCATGTCACGTGTTGGAATTTTTTAAACGGCCTTAAGCTGATAATAAATGCCCAAATTTAATTCAAAGACCACAGAAAGATTTTTGTTAAGTATGTAAAGATCATTTCCCTATTACAAATGGCATAGTTAAACTGTCTTTTGAGAGAATCTCTAATATTTTTAGATTTACAGTAATAGCATGGAATAATGGTCCTGTGGGGGTAACCACAGATTATTGAGTCTTTTTTGGCCATTGGAGCTTCAAAGTTGTTCCTTTTCTTTTATTCAGGGGCGCTGTGAGTATTTACATTTTAAAATGCACTGACCATGATAACTGAAGGAACTGTTTGTTGATGTGGAATTAAGCATATGCATAAGCATTCCTTAAATAAGCCTAATTTATTTAATGAGAATGTTCCAGAAAATAGCACTTTATTATTGGTCCTTTAGCGATTAGACTTACAAAAATGATGGTAGATCAGATTGTTAGTCCAATTCATAATATATACTGGCTGATAAATTTCCCAGCTGGTATTTTTCTGTTCATAAGATCTGTCCATTACTAATTCACTTTGTTAGTTTCTAGTTCCTGGAAATGCAAGAAATGCAGTGTTTTGGTTCACTGGGGTTTTCATTAAATTTTGTCTAGTTTTTAGACTACACCCATCCCTTATCATTTGTGTGTAAGAGAAACTAAAGGAAAAGCATTGCCTTGAGCAGTCAGATCTGGTACTTCTGAAACTACTTCAGAAACTACTGAGTCTGCCTATCTTCATGTGCATTACATGTCCATATAGTTGACCAACGCTAAAAAAACTACTAAGATATCCTTATGGAAGAAAGAAATCATTCATTTGGAAAGTTAAAGGTTTCTATGAACAGTTTTGGTTTTGAAGTTTTGATAATACTTGAAAGAAGTTGTATTTTCGGACCATCCTCTGCTCCCTAAATATTTCCAGTAGAAACCTGTTTTCATCCATGTTCATTTGGAAAATGTTCACCCATGTGTGATACATGTGATACGTGTATCAGGGATACATATATTACTGATAGACATATATTTATTTCAGCACATCCAGCCCTATGAATTACCTCTTTCCTCTTACATTCCTCTTTGCTAGCCATCTCTAAATGAATTTCTGGTTTTGAATTTATATAGTTTTTGTTCAATCAGTTCAAATATTCAGTGTATTTTATGTATATCAGTAGAGTTATGTATCTATATTCTGAAGAGGATGAAAACGTTTTGAAATCTGTTTCATATTAAATACAGTTGTTGAAATATTTTTAAAGTCTAGTTTGGGCTTACATACATAAACACTACTTAGATATTTAGGAGGTGGAGATGGACAACTGGTGAACTGACAATCCTAGAGCTAGAACAAGCCAGGGCTTTAGTAGCATAAATGCACCAAGGTCCTACTGTATGATAAGGCTATATTTTTATGTTGTTTCTCTGTTACCACATGTTTGTAGAGTTTTGGGCAGTAGTGAAGGAGAAAGGAGAAGGGATAAAATGTATGTTTTGGACCAAAACTATGCAATTCTTTCACCAGGTTCTGAAAAGTAATATGGGAAGTACCAAACAGATGACTTTCAGCTGTTCTATAAACCAGCAAGTATGCAGATTGTTCCTAAAGTCTATACCTTAACAGCAGCTGCAGTCAGCTTACAAAGATATCACAAGTTCCATTTGTGCAAGGTTCCTTTAGCTTGATTCTGTAACTACTCTATTTAGCCTTTAAAGTGTAAGATTCTCTCCTATTTGAGTTTTAATTCTGGTACTGACAGATGCATATAGGACATTCTTTTTTGTATGCCCTGTGTGTGAGTCAGTATGGCCAAAACACCCAGAAGAAAAGATAGAGGATTTCACAGCTAAGTACCACATGAACTAGGACAGGACATATTTCAGTTAGCATTATGTAACACTCTACAATAGGGACAAAACAGCATTACTCTAGAAAAACAGTAATATGTATATATTTTTAAGATTATTATCTCCAACAGTACAAGTATTCTAGAAACCAGTTGGTAAATTTAGTAGGATAATATTAATTCAAAATGTTGCAATCACCTTTAGTTGTTATAAAATAATTCTACAGGCCTGTAATTCTATAAGATTATCAGTGGTTTTCTCTGTGCTTCTTAGGACGTTGAAATTCATGTAATATCATTTATGGGTTCAGTTATTTGCACATCCATACTCCACTTTACACATGTTTGTTTTATTCTACATTCTTTGTTTTCCATCTGTGAAAGCCCATATAAGTCACTTGGGGCTACAAAAGTACAAGGGTAAGAAGTATTTGACCTCACAGTTTGTGAGCTCCTCAAAGGAAACTCCTCTTTAATTCATCTGAAAAGAATTGTGAAAAAACAATGTTAGTTATGGGAAGGGTTACAGATGCAACCTGCAACATTCAGAAATTTTAAACACAAACAATTCAGAAAAACAAATCTCTTTTCTTTATGGAAATACAGCATTTCTTTCTGGAAGAAGAAACAGACACCCTCTTCTGAAGAAGCCAAGATGTCCAAAAGGTTTATGTGGCTTGTTAGCCACTGAGATGTGAATTGCCAACAGAAACATTTTGCATTTAACCAATAACAAACAAAATGTTGCTGTAGGCAACAGCTACTGCCAGCACTTGAAAAAAAGAAATTCTGGCAACTAACCATGTATCAAAATAGGTTCTAAAGTAAGAAAATGCCTTCTTTTCACCACCTACTTAAACATCTTATTTTAGATTGCACCAAAACTGAAGAGTAGATGATATTTCCATTAATTCTGACAATTTCATGGAAATTCTGGGAAGACCTCTCCCCTCAGATCGCTCATATGGAGAACATACTCCAGCTTAGCTTAACTGGCTGCCATATGTTACTCCTTTTCCACTGATAAATAGCTCCTGGTACATTTGTACAGATTAGCGTCCTTCAGTGTACTATGGCCTGGAAAGTGACCACGGGAACTTCAGTATGTAAGATGCATTTATTGTTAGAAAGGGTTAAACAGATTGTTGTCATTGCTACTAACAGAACCAAGAACATTGTCTAAAAGCAAACTACAGCATCATTTGTGCTTACAGTGAGGCTCAGGATGGATCCTTTTATAAAATCAGAGAATGTGACCAGCAGATGGAGCACAGTAGAGGAGCAATGCGCCTTTGGTCCATCAGCATATCATCTAGGGAGGAAAAAAATTTCTTACCTGCTAGCTGTTTGAATATGTTAAGGGTGTTATTTGAAGGAAAGGAAACATGCTCAAAAAATAAAATTATAAACTAAAAAGAGGTTAGAATTGTTCAGTGATTGTAGGAGAGCACAATCTTAAATGGTTGAGTACTGTGTTTGCTAACATCGTATGTTTTACATGCACTGAGCTATTTCCATTGATTGCAGATCTCTGAGCGTCAGAGTGGGTTTTTTCTGCTTCTTCCACAAAATCTGCTACATTCTGCTGACATGCTTCATAACTTTTCTTCATTATCTGCCTCCATCCTATTTGGAGCCTGAGGGTATCTTCCTTCATAATCACTCTCTTTAAGCTTCTGCCTGGATTTGCTTTCTTCAAAGATGGGCTCTCTGAGCCTTCCTTTTCCTGAATTTTTAATTTATTCTCTCAGCAATCAGTTTCAATAATATCATGTTGGAAATGAAGCTACTCTTAAGACTTAGAAAAAACAGCACTATCTGGATTTTCATGCTTTCATTTTGGATGTGGGAGTATATCCAGGTCAACATTGAGTTTTGCATGAATTTGTTGGGGAGGCTATTTTCTTGTATTTTCTTTCTGAATATATGACTTATTTTTTGTGTATACATTTTTACATATCTCTGAAGTGCTTTCTAGCTGAGACATGAGTGGAAGGCCTAGTGTTTTAAAGAATTTTCTGTGTTTACCTGACAAAATTAGGGGTTGTACAGTTCAAATAGCAGAAATCTGGTTTTAAGGTGATGAACACTGAAATACCATTATCAACAATCCTGTTGATGCAGGATTTACGTAGCTAGTTTAGAGAAGATTTACCTCAGTGACAGATGTTCATCCAGGGGTTAAAGATGATCCCCTGCTTTCCCACTGCATCTCTCAAAGCTTTAATACCTCCTATCTCAACAGCCTAGAAAAGTAAGTCAAGAATACCAAAGAAATTTGTTCTCAGCATTTCAGTTTCACATTCCTTTAATTACACTTCTGTTAATATCTTCCTTTATTTTTTGTTCAAGATAGTGGGAGAAAATAAGTTAATTAATTCCACTCTATTTTGAATTACATTGTCCATGCTCCTACAGACAAAAAAAAAATCCTACTGTAGGCCACAAAACATTAATTGTGATATTGCAGGAATCCCAGAGACTTGCAGTCCAAGAACTTCTGACAAGAGATGAAAATGCAGAGCTGCAAATATTCATCTTAGCCTCATTCTCCAGCTACCAGAGGGACATTGATCTGAGAAGGAAATTTCCCTTTCATTCACTATTTCTTCATCTGTCATTATAATAGGAGAAAAAATTAAGGTGATTTTTTTTCTGTGCTTAAGATTGTCTCTGCTGACCTCTTCACAGATGGGAGATTGGGAACTGGAGCACTTGCAGTCTTACCTGTGGGGTTGGTTTGCAGACACGAGATGTCTTCTGTTCTCATCTGCTATCAAGAGAGACCAATGAGACTGTGATTTTGGCAGATGAATTGTGCTCTACACCCAAGCCATCCCTTGTGCAAGCCTGTAATCGCTTTGACTGCCCACCCTCCTGGTATCCTACAGAATGGCAAGAGGTAAGAATTTATGTGTAACCTTATTTTATGACTGCCTAAAGTCCTCATTGCACACATTTCAGTGCTCAGAGGGCTGGAGCACCCCTCCTGTGAAGACAGGCTGGTCAACTGCAGTAGAGAGGGCTCCAGGGAGAGCGCAGAGCAGCCTTACAGCTTATCAGGTGTGCCCACAAGAAAGCTGAAGAGGGACTTTTGACAAGGGCATGTAGCAGTGGGGCAAAGAGTAGTGGATTTAAACAGAAAGAGGGCAGATTTAGTTTAGTTATTAGGAAAAAAATGTTTTAGTGTATGGGTAGTGAGGCTGTGAAGCATGTTGCTCGAGGGAGATGGTGGATGCCCCATTCCTGAAAGTGTTCAAGGCCAGGTTGGATGCAGCTTTGAGCAACCTGGTCTGATGGAAGACGTCCCTTGCCTAGTGGGGGGCAGAGGGGGAATGGGGTGGGGTGGAACTAGAAGAACTTTTAGGTTCCTTCCAACACAAACCATGCTATGATTCTATGGTTTAACTTTAGCCCATCAACCGGAATCATTAATCATTCTGACAAGCCATTTAAAAACTGCTAAGTGTGCATTTTTTGTTCTTAAAAAATGCATCTGTGTTTCCAGAAGTAAACAATGACTGTAGCTATTTCTAATGCAAAGTTATTGGAAAATCTTAACAGCTGGCTATAGATTTCAAACAAAAATATCTGGAATATATTGGTCAGCTGCAGGGACTGGACTTGGGTGAGCTATGTCTAGGTTTCTAGGAATACTAAACTAGAAGGATTAAGGATAAAAGTCTTTAAAGCATTTTGAGTACCTCATATGTTCTCAAATAATAATTTTGTTTAGTACAAGATATATTCCTCATGCTTCAGATTAAGTAATGTGTGTTAAACACTTCCTGTTGGGAGATGCATGGTTTATTACACTAATTATAAAAATTCCTATCTACACAATGGGTCTAAAAATTCCTATATACACAAAGGCTTTCCATTTTTAGAAAGCACTCTGAAATGACTCAATTTGCTGAAATCTGGTTGCAAATACTTGTGTAATTCAAAAGACTTAAAGATGTTTCTTTAAATGGTGGTAATACTACAGTTTTAATAATACGACTGCAGGAGGAAGGAATCTTTTAAATATTTCTGTGCCTTAATTAAATGCACTAGAATCTTTATCATTTTCAGTGGTGTGCTTCTGGAGCAGCGTTTAAGCTTTCATTTTACAAGGTCCTATAAATATCTGTTCTGCATACCTGAAATGGAAGAGATCCATTAGTAAATCTTCATCCACCTTTGTTTTATTACTGAATAAGTGCTAAAGTCTCAGTCCTAGCATTCTTCATTTGCTCCAGTGCTGTCTTTGCTTCAAAGATAATTAGAACAATGATTTTAAAACAAATTCAGCATGGGAAAATTGGTAGTATTTTCTTATATTTTCCTTTCTATTTCTAATCCACATGATAAAGTGTCTCTTCTAAATCCTCAAGTGTCAGGCCTTAAAAGAAACTGAGAGACTGTATGAGAAAAAAGCTTCTTTTGCAGGTGCTTTATCTTACTGTGGAATCTTAGCAGAGAATTGATTTTTGACAGTAAGGAAAAAATTAAAAAAATTTAAATTTAAAAATTAAAAAATAAAAAAAATTACACTGCTCTCTATTCAAGGTATACCACTATATTGTGGTATACCTTGAATAGAGAGCAGTGTAAAATTAAACCACATGGGAGACGATGGAAAGGAACTTGGGGGTCCTGGTTGATGGCAAGTTGAACATGGGTCAGCAGTGCCCTGGCAGCCAGGAGGGCCAACCCTGTCCTGGGGTGCATCAGGCACAGCACCACAGCTGGGCAAGGGAGGGGATTGTCCTGCCCTGCTCTGAGCTGGGGCAGCCTCACCTCCTGTGCTGGGGGCTGGTCTGGGGGCCACAGCATGAGAAAGAAATTAGACTATTGGAGAGAGTCCAAAGGAGGGCAGTGAGGATCATGAAAGGCCTTGAGGGGAAGCGCCATATGAGGAGTAGCTGAGGTCACTTGGTATGTTCAGCCTGGAGGAGACTGAGGGGAGCCCTCACTGCAGTCCACAATTGCCTTGTAAGGGGGAAAGGAGGGGCAGGCACTGATCTCTTCTCTGTGGTGACCAGTGAGAGGACCCAAGGGAATGGCCTGGAGTTGTGTAAGGGGAGGTTTAGGTTGGATATCAGGAAAAGGTTCTCTCCCCAGAGGGAGGCTGGGCACAGGAACAGCTCCCCAGGGCAATGGTCACAGCAGCATCCTGACAGAGTTCAAGAAGTGTTTGGAGAGTGCTCTCAGGCACATGGTGTGACTCTTGGGGCTGTCCTGTGCAGGGACAACACTATGTAAGTGAATAAAGTCCAAGAAGCAAGAAAAGATATGTTTTGTCTTATCTCTGGCAGAGCTGGAAGGGCAGAGACTTCCTGAGATTTACTGATTGACAGTAGGAACATACTTTGTGATACTCATAGTGAGTGACCCATTTGGTATCTTGTGTATGATATGATAAAAGTCCTTAGGTAACATTGGAATAATACTTTTAATCGTATTTTTCTTCCTCCTCAGGAATGAATTTTTCTAAAACGAGAGGCTGATAGACATTTTCTTCTGTTGAAAACTAATGTTTTTGTTGCTTAATTTTTTGGAAGCCTTTGAGCTTTGTACCATTCAAAATAAGTAAGACAAAAGCTAATTTTACACATTAAAAGAAACCAAATATAAAAATGTCTTTCTGCACTTCCTTTCTGTCTTTCAAAGCAAATGTTTAGCCTAAATATTCAGGCTAACATTAAAGTTCATGCAGCTCTTTATCTCAGAGAGAAGGGCCTTTCATGACTGCAAGATTTTTTAAAACACTCCCTTTTTAACTGCTTAAGTATACTTTTTAATACTTCTCCATATTATTGTCTGTTTCTCTTGAATAATTGCCATGTCACAAGCTATAAGCAACTCCTGGTCATGCCAATGTAATGCAAGCTCCCCCTTTCCTTTGCTAGAAGAAATGAGAAAAGGAGTTGAGCTGGCTGAACTGAGCAGAACTGGGAGTCTCTTACTAGCCTTAGGAAAAGGATCCTCAGGAAAAAGGGCTGAGCAACTTAAATTTACAAAAAATATTCAGGAAAACTACTAAATTTGGTTAATCAAAATTTCCTGCCCTGCTTAAGTAGAAAAATGGATGCAGAGAGGGATATTTACATTAAAGACAGAAGGGAGGTGTATTCTCTGGATATGAATAATCTCAATTTACTTATCTACTAGTGGACAAGACTTTTCCACTCTTTCTGACATGGTTAGTGTCAGAGCACAGACACAGGAGTTACTATTTAGATTCTCCACATCAAATGCAATTGTCTCAGTTTCCAGGTGGAGAGGACAAATTTCCCACCTCCATACTTCAATGCTGACTCACTGACTGTTTCAATGTCTTTTGAAAGAATACCTTAAAACAGAACACTTCAGAAATACTGAAACAGTTTCTCTAAATACTAGCAAATTAAGCTGCTCCCCTTTTCCAAAATAAATTTGACATTTTTAAAAGCAGTCTACTTCGAGGTCTCTGAAATTTTTGTTTTATGTTTTGTATTTGGCCAAGACCAAGTGTTGATTTCTACCCTAATTCACAAGTAATTTTTGCAGCAAGGAGGGTGGTGAGGGTATGGTGTGAGGTGGCTGTCTCTTTTCTCTCAGTGTTCACAGACCTGTGGTGGTGGTGTCCAGAAGCGAGATACACTTTGTAAGCAGCGCCTGGCCGATGGGAGCCTGTTAGAGCTGCCAGAAACCTTCTGCCCCACGCCAAGGACCATTACACAACAAGCCTGCAAAAATGAGGATTGTCCCAATGAATGGCTTCTCTCTGACTGGACACAGGTATACTATTTGTTTGCATGAGCATTGTGCAGATCTTGGAGATGAAGTTCCGAAGGCAGTTGGGATAGAGGACCCAAATAAGGTCAGACTTCACAAAGCATGTTATGCCCAGTTTTGTCCTGTAATCTGTCCTCATCATCCTAGTTAGGGATGCTATCACTAGCTCCATGTTCCTCTGTGGTGTCCGCCTCCACAGATGTGCTTTAGCTGTCTGACCAAACCTTTAAGACCCTTCTGGTGTAAACAATAAATCCCTTGCTCCAAACAATAAATCCCTGCCTCTGTCCCTGCCAATGCTAATTATTTCATCCAAGGCATTGATGAAGAGTAATCTTTATTACCCTAGGCTACATGCTCTTTGTTGCCAAAATCTAGCTGTTCTGATCTCAATAGTCTTTTCCTCTTGGGGTCACTCCAACCCTTTCCTATGATGAAGACAATAGAAAATAAGAGGAAGGGAGGGAACAGGAAAGGAAGAGAATGTTGAGGGGAAGGGAAAGGAGAAGGGGAAGGGAGGAGAAATATTATAAAAATATAATTTTACTTTATAAGGTCGAAGCAAGGGCAAAGGTTCATGGCAGTTAGCATGAAAATGATTCCACATCTTGCAGTCTCTGCCACCACTCTTCCAGTCCCCTTTCATGGAAGATAGTGGAAATTGTCTTGCGGAAGTTGTAAAAGAAATGCCAACCACCCTACAGAGCTGTCCCACCTGCACCCTCTTTATGGGGTTCTGCCTGGGCATTTCACTCAAATTAGTGTATGTTTTCATAAAGTCTTCTGCCAGGAGACACATAGCCATTCTGGCAGTGAAGATGGTAATTACAGTGCTTTACCCATTTTCTAGTTACTTTTACAGACTGCTGCTTTGTTCCAGTGCAAAGACACTGTCTGTATTTCTTTTTCCACAATGCTATATGCATAAATATGAAACTGAATAGTCATGATGAAGTCCATCAAACCATGTCCACCTGTTTGCACCTGCACTGCAATCTGGTATTAGAGGGTTTATACCATTCTGTGTAGGCCATGTATAGTAACTACAAGGCTGAGGTAATTAATTGGTGACTAAAATATTCATCCCTTTATTATTCCTAAAGGGATTTTCAACAGCAAAGCTTAAAGATTAAGCTTAGGCTGGATTTTATCTGGCCCAGAATGCAACTGTGATCTGCAGCTCCGTGAGGTCTGCTCTTGGACATGAGCTGGAGTTTTTCCAGCCAGCAAACACAGACACATAGAAACAAAGCTAAAAGACTGGCTTCGAACTGTAGCACAGTACCATTAAAACAAGAGACACCATCTGACAGAAAAGAAGGGGTAACAAGAGCATGGAAAAAAATTAAGCCTTACAGGACAGAAAATAAGAAGTAATTCATCTCCTTACTATGCCTGCACTGTTTGTAACTGCATGGTCAGATGCTGCTCTGTTTTATTCTGCTGCAACCAACATTTTGAAAACTGCAACTGCTTTATCCTGTGTTGTGTGTATGCAGTGTGGATATGGGAGTTGAGGAAGGAAGTGCGTTTTCATGGAGCACCTTTTTCATTTCTCCTAATGTTTCTCATCCTGTTCCTAGTGCTCAGTGAGCTGTGGAGAAGGCACACAGAGTCGAAATGCTATTTGCAGAAAGATGCTGAAAACTGGGGGCTTTGTTATCATCAATTCCTCACTCTGCCTCCCTTTGCCATTCTCATCCTTGATCAGGCCCTGTTCACTAGGCCCCTGTGCACGTAAGTGGAAAAGGTGTTTGGCAATGTCTGGGGAAAAGGGATTGGAAGTGCTTCACTAAGAAATCCATGCTATTTCCTGCTTCACAGCCTGCTTTCACGCTAGTATTACTCAGTCTTGTGGAGTGGGTTTTTCTGTCCGTAAATAAGTCAAGCCAGTGGAGAAGTGCTGCAGATTTCACTAATGGAGCTGGATATGAGCCAGTGTGCTGGAAGGGAGCTACTAGTTTCTGGAAGAACTCGCTCAAAATTCTGATCAAAATCTAGATCTTAATTTTGCAGCTGGAATGTAGAGGCTCAGAGACACAGAACAGCAGCTGGAGGGCTGGAGCAAATAAACTGTCTGCTAGAACAGCTGCAAGGAAAATGGTTGGTAAGGGATTTTGCCAACAATCATTTAGAAACCTGTTATTTCATTATGTCATTCCAAATCCTCTATGACCTGTGATTGCTAATGAACCATGCAACACAAGTTAGATTTATCTTGGTAGTTCATGCATTTGTTTTTGCCCCTCACAAGTCCCCTGTATACTCTTCCCTAGTTTACAGTAAGCCACCTGGATATGTGAAAGTCAGCCTAGCTTCAGCTTGCCTCTGAAACTGCTGAATGTAGGGGTATGTAGGGAGAAAAGATCTGATGTTTAGAACTAAAGTTTAGACCAAATTTTACATGGTATTTACTAGTAACATGCCTATGCAGCTTAATTTAGTGCTTCATACTAAAGATCTCTGACACAGGGATCAGGAAACCAGAAGAACTCACTGAACTAGTGAATTTTAATAGTATTTACCACGTTTTTAAGCTTAGCCCAGAGAGTTTTTTCCTGTCCAACATTACACCTTGAGGCAGCAAGACTCTCATTCTACCTTGCTGTTGTGAGCTGCAAGATCACATTGCTTTTGAAGGTTTTAAATGGTAAACACTTGTCTATTCAGTGCATTTCTTAAATAACAGTTGTTTAAGTACTTTAACAAGAACTATGTTTCTGCTGAAGTTTTCTCTCTCTGGTAAAGATTTATCCCTGAATATTTGGTTTCTGCATATACTCTAGGCTACTTTCACATTCCTGAAGTGTGTCTTGTTATTCCTCCTACTTTGATTGTTTTAGTTTAACGTCCAGCTTCTGCCATTAGTGTCTAATGGGCCCAATGCTGCCCACAACAATGTAAACTAATTGCTTTCTTTAATGGTATCATATACTAATCATATAATGATATTTCAGGGCACAACAGACCAGCTCATAAGCAAAGCCCCTATATAATGGCTGTAAAGCAAGTTTACATCCAGACAAGGAAGCAGAAGAAACTGCACTTCATTGTGGGTGGATATGCCTACCTGCTGCCCAAAACTTCTGTTATTCTCCGATGCCCTACCAGGAGATTCCGGAAATCAATGATCACTTGGGAGAAGGATGATAAGAGGCTTGTCAGTTCAGCTCACATCACCATCGCACCCTTCGGGTACATGAAAATCCATCATCTGAAACCTTCAGACACTGGGACATACACCTGCACAGCAGGGCCAGCCCGGGAGCATTTCATAATTAAACTGATTGGAAGCAACAAAAAGATCATTGCTGAGCAGCCAGCTGGTATTAGGGAGGAAGAGGCCATGAGAAAGGCCGGCTTAAACGATGCCTTGAGAACAGAGGATAAATATCTCAATGGGATTTTCTTCAATGGCAGCAAGGCTGAAAAGCGAGGGCACCTTGCTAACCCCAGCAGATGGTATGACAATATTGTCTCGAGGCTGCTACAGCTCAAGGGCTGGCCAGTGGAAAGTCTGGAGTCCTGGGAAGCCCAGGAGTCTGTGGAGAGAAATGCATCCTCAGAACAGGACCAGAGCCAGGAGCATAGCTTGCCATTTACTATGGTCACAGAGCAGAAACGCTTGGATGATATCATAAGAAATTTGTCTCGACAGCCTGAGGAGCTTAAAGATATCTACACTGAATATCTTTTTATGCACCTGGCTCATGAGGCTTTCAGGAGCTACTTGGACCATCAGGAATCTGTCCTCAAAGCACCAAGGCGAAAAGTTGATTCTGCCTCAGTGGAGTACCCTTTCCACAGACGTGTTTCTGGATTTACCAGCTCCCTGAGGACATCATCTGCTGAAACATTTATTCCCACTTCTGTAGACCTGGCCAATCATTTGCACAGGCCTCATCAGAAGCCTGCCATCCTCCGAAAGATTTCAGCAGCACAACAACTTTCTGCTTCAGAGGTTGTCACCCACCTGGGACAGACAGTGGTCCTAGCAAGTGGCACATTGAGTGTGCTGCTTCACTGTGAAGCAGTGGGAAACCCAAAGCCCACCATCAGCTGGGCTAAGAATGGAGAGGAAGTGAAATACAATGATAGGTAAAGCATGTTATTTAACTTCTAGGAAAATAATTGATATTTTGACTCATCACTTGCCATGTGTTACTGCCTGTCAGTCCCATGGACGAAACCATGTTTTGCTGTAGTCTGATTTCATAACAGAAAGAAGGGCAAGTGTATGTGAATTGGTAAATGGGTTAAATAGAGCACTGTAAATCTTCAGCAAGGTCTGGATGCCGGGTCAGACTGGTGTGGCAGACAGGAACCGTACTTCTGTTTGAGTAAGTAAAAAAAAAGGAATTGTAAAGTACTAAAGGACATAAGTGCCTAATACAGTCAACAGAGCACTCTGTATCCAGAAACTGGGAGTCTTAGTTTATTTTCCCATCTGATGAAGATTGATACAGAGATAAGAAAACTGGTCATTGGTTGTTGCTATTATCCTCTGTTGGAGCTGAAATTGCATTTCTCCTAGTGCCACAGGAGGGCTTGACAGACATGGTTGTGGTAAGAGAAGATGGAGGAGATGAGGTTTTTGCCTTCCACATATATATCCATGCATTAAACTGCCCCAGGATAAGCTTAAAAGGGCATTACAATCACCATTTACTGTGTATGTTCTGATGAAGGCTGTAAATTGTGGAACCACACCTCATGGCTGTCTGCAGCTTTGCTGTGGTCTCAACAGATGTATCATTTAGCATTTGTCATCTCATGTGAATTGGTGAATCCTAACCTGTTTAAATTTCAGAATGCTGGTCCCAGATGTAACCTGAGAATTTGACATAGCAAAATGCTTTTATCAGTATACCACAAAAATTATGCTGTTTTTCCTTCAGGTGGCCTTTACTTTCTGATTCCTCCACATTATTCATTTGTGTGGAAGAGCACACAGAGAGAGGTTATTTTCAGTACAAGTTGTATGTTTAACTGTCTTGATAACATACGTTCTTCCCATGTGTATGCTTGGGATTTTATATTTTGGTTCTGTCCTGTGAGAAATCATTATATAAGAACAGGAAAAGACTGTAGTAGGCAGTAATAATGAGCAACACAGTACAACAAAGTTGTCCAGGGATCTGCTAGCAACTCCCTCTGCACAAGATACTGACCTCAGCTAAGACATACACATTTAGTCATGAGATCATGGGAAAAGATGGAGTCAAGACAAAAATTAATTTCCAGTGTGGTGCCCTTGGATCATCCAGTAAAATCTTGATTTAGGGAAAATTGCCCCTTCTATACAGTTATGAAATGATTTTCTTAACTTCTTCTTTATTTTGACTATTGAATCAAAGAAAAAGTATTTGCTTTCTATAATGATCTGAGTTTCCTGGTTCTTGCTTCTCTCTCTGAAGGCTAATAAGTATATTAAATTGAACACAAAAAAAAACCCCCAAAAAAGGTAACTTTTGAAGGGGTAGAGGTCACTGAGAACAAGAATGTACCTCTGGTGGAAATCACATACAGTCATAAGCATGACTTGGACATACAGAATCCCTTCATTTGGATATATTCCTGTAAAAATATCTGTAGGCCACCCCCAAAACAAGTTTCATATATAATTTTTCATCTATTGGGTATATCCTATTAGAATTGGGCCATTAAGTTGAGGATTTTTCTCTACTTGAAATTACTGTAACTTCTGTGGCATCCATGAAAGGGAAGGGATGTTACACAAAATTGACCTATGAGGAATGCTGAACACCACAGTCGAGAAATTGGCAAGTTTTTGTCACACTCTATAATCTTTCATGGTATCACAACATGTAGATTAATTTAGCTGGTAAGAGACACTTATGTGATTCCTGAAGTTTTATTTCAGATTTTTTTCATATATAATTTCACAATACTTTTTCAATCCTTATTTCTTTCCCATTCAGTTTGGCTGAAATAGCCTTGAATGTTGTATTTTGTTTCTGAATTACCAGTCAGTTGTCTGTGTGCTCAAAATTTCTATCAAAAAGTCAGAGGAAAGTACCATTTCTTTTCCAGTTAGTGGTATAAATCATTGACAACTCTTCTTTAAATATTGAGGCATTTTCTGCTTTATGGACTTCCTTCTGTGCTCATCATTTATTAGTTCCCCTGGGCTGGTGTGTGGGGGAAGAAATGACCATGCTCTGAGCTTCAGGCACAACTCAACACTCTATCTTTAGAGCTAATGGAAATTTAGAAATCATGACGTGTAAAAAAATTGTTCTGTGGATTTTTTTGCTGGATTCTTTAAGATCAGTATTCTGGTTTTGGCTTAGAATGCTCTTGCTGCCTGTCAGTCAGCTGTGCCAATGGAAGTTGCAGTTTAAGCAGACTTAGAGCGTACTGCTGTAAACTGCAAGGTCACAATGTAAATGTGTGGTGGTGTCTGGTATGTTTGAACTGTCCTTCAGCTCTGCAGTTTGTTTTCTTTGTACTTTGCCAACCACTGAATGGAGAAGAGGATTTGCCAGCCCACCTCTATCTTAATGGGAATAAGGAAATAATTTCTTGTACCAGTATCAGAGAGAGACCCTTCTTCTGAGAATGGCCAGAGAGCAGTGCTGAAGTTCCTCAGGTCACACCCTACTGAATATACTGAGATTTCAGAAGTACTTGGTTGCTATGGCAATTCTTAGAGTACAGGTTGCCAGTTTTAGGTTGGGTGACAGCTGCCTGTTTTGTATACACAAGCCACTGAGATAAAGGCATTCACTTTTACACATTGCAGCTGTGGATTTTGTCTGAGCCAGTGATGTCCAATAATGATGGTTGATATATGGCTCTGTTCTCATTGCCCCATTCCATGAGCTGTTTCATCCACCCAGAAGTATGACTCTTACTGCGTGGCTATCCTTGCAAAAATTAATTAATTAAAAAATTAATTACAGTCACAAAAAGATGCAACCTAGGCCCCTAAAAAATGCTGGTTTTCAGTTACTGAGTAGAATGAAAAGATATGACACAAATAGCTGCAACAGTTGAAAATATCTCTGCCTCCAGTAAAATATCCCCAACTTGTGTCTGCCTATTCAGTCTGAGTGCTTATTTACAGAAAAGTCCACACTCTCTCCTAAAGTTAAAGAGTCAAGTTAACACCAGCATGGGTTCTGAATGCCATTTCAAAATCTACTAGTATCCATACCAAAGCTATTGGACTGCTGTGTATGTTGGAAAATGTTTTATTTTAAAGAAAATTCAGATTAAATTCCTTAGGAAGCAGTTTTAAAAGTGAAAAATCTTTGAGGAATTTATGCACTGTTTAATAAGCCTTGCAAGTATGCTGCAATTTCTGTCACTGGGGATCCATTAGTGCTTGATAATTCAACTTCTCTAAAACAGGCATAAATTTTATAAGAGGACATGAAGCAGCATGTGAACAGTTAGTGGTATGGAGTTAGGTGTTTGTGAGGTGTTTGCTAGGTGTTTGTCTGATTTAGTCATTGATATATGTCCTGCAAAATATGTCTCTGTCTTGGAGGCAATGCAGTGTGGAGCAACTGAGATGAGACTGATTAAATATTAAGCTGTATTATTTTCAGTCCATAAATGAGATTCTGAAGACATGCTGGTGACATAAAGAATTGCTACAGCTGGTTGGTTTTTTTCTCAGCCCCAACAACTCAATACCAAACAAAAATAGCAATCTATGAGCAAATAGGGAATTCAGCCAAAATAATTCTATACAATGAGGAATGATAAAAGATCTGCTTTCAAGAAAAGCAGCTATGCCAAATTGTGATAAATTATGGAAAAGAAGACGACATTATGTTTGTTTGTAGAAAAGGACTTTAAACTTGGATTGAGAGGATAGGAGGATGGAGCTGTGTTGGAGTTTTATTTTTTTTAAAAGGCAAGTACCTACCTGAACTACCTCTATTTTTAAAATATTTGTGCTGGATCTTGAGGTGCCTTAAGCTGACAGAGAGAGGTTTATGTCAGGAGAGGTGATTAATAACAAACAAATTATGCATCCTCGTGTTTTATAAAATGCAATATTAGGCAAGATCTTTCCTCAGCCTGAAGATGTCAGAAACATTAATTAAAGCTATTTTAGGGGTCTTGTAAGCATTAGTTTGTTGTAGACTGAAGATCTGCCTACATACTATATTTGTAGACATGTAGACAGAACACACAGAACTTTTAAATGTCACAGGCTGTTCTAATTTGGGACAACTTCTGAAGATTTAATGAAGTCCATGTAATGATTGAAGAAGTTGGTGTTAAACTAAAAATTTATGTGTGAGATAGAGATGCATGCTAACATTAGTTCTGCAAGTAAAAAAAATCTGTTAGTTGCTGTCACCGTTAGCAGTGACTATCTAGTCAGCCCTGCTTATGACTAAGAAGTAAGAAAAACATCCTTGACAGCAAAAGTGGGAAGGCAATTATTTCAGCCATTGGTGGTTTTTTTTAGCTGTGAAAGCACAGATGCAATTTTAAAAGTATTAATGTTTGTTTTGCAAATGTGCATTTTTCTAAGCATTTATAATACTTGTTTAAAAATAGGCATCTCTTTTATTGATAATGACTATTTTTCTTATTACTCACAAAAGGGTAAAAAAATAATGTTATCTCTGGAGTTTTTCTCCTATAATAGATTTTGCTGGGTGGCCCTAATCTGGTTTGGTTTAGAGATCTACCACCCACAGTGTTGTACAAAACCAAATATCCGTGGCTTATTCGTCCATGAGACAACAGTTTTTATTGTGGTGATGGGAGTGTAAAGAAACTCATCAATTCCAGGATCTGTGAGCAGATTTCTACTGCATGTGTTTTACAGGCATATCCCTCCCCCAGTTTCACCCTTGCCACCCACTGTCAATCACAGCCTCAGAGTTTACAAGCAACAACTCCTGAAAGTTGCTGATGAGAACAGTAGACTTTATCTACAGTTCCAGCTAAAAAGAAAACTCAGAGAAAGGAGCAACAATCTTGAAACACAGTGTGATGAAAACAAGAGTACATGAGCACAAACCCATGGACTGAATTCTTGCTGAAGTAGGTGTATACCAGTGATGCAGCGCCCGATTTCGGGGAGAAAGCTTA